AGTTTTTGAAGAACATCTATGCACCTGAAAACATCTTGAAGCGCGTGATAAGAATTGTTTCAAAAGGCTGCCAATATTCTCTAAATTCTGTGTGAAAAGTGCAACTTCTTGGACATTTAAAGCGAGTTTTTCTCTTTTCAACAACGCGCCCTTCTATGTTGTCCAGGTTCCTCAACAACAAGTTTTGAAAAGTACTTGCGCTGCTAAAAAATACGTTTGAGCCCACAACAAGCGTAGCTTCAAAGTGCTGACAATATTCTCAAGATTTTTTCTTTAAATGAAACTTTTGGATCAGTTATCACAAATAATTCTTCTTTTCAATGAACTGTCAAGCGGGCTTCTATTTGCGCCAATTTCTGCAAAATTAATTGTTGAAGAACATCTATGGATCTAAGAAATGCCTTGAAGTGCGTGGTATCGTTTCAAAGCCTGCCAATGTTCGAAAAGTGAACATTTGAACCGAATTTGTGTGTTTTCGATGAAATGCCAAGCGCCTTTTCGTATGTTCTGATAATTCCGCAAACTAATTTTTAAGAGACACTTATGCATCTGAAGAAAGAGGTTGAGCGCACGGCAAACGTTGCTTCATGGGTCTAAAAATATTTTCTAGATTGTTTTCCAAAAGTGAAGCGTTTCGGAGATTGATGGCAAATTTGCCTTCTTTTCAACGAAGTGTGATTCCTTCTTGTACCTGCACCAGTTTTTTCATAAATATTTATTGAAAAACACATATGCACCTATAGAAAGCTTTTGAGCGCATAGAAGCGTCGCTTCACAGGCCTGCCAAAAATCTGCAGACCATTTTCAAATAGTGAAACTTTCTGGGATGCTTGGAAATCCTTTCTTCTTTTCAATGGAGCGCTAACCGCCTTTCCATATATTCGGGTTTGTGCAAAATCAATTTTTCAATAAACAAGGTGTTTGGGTGCATGGCAAGCGCTCTTCGCCAGCCAATAATACCCAGACTATTTGCAAATAGTGACACTTTTTGGAATCTTCAAACGAACTTTTGCCTCTTCAATGCAGTTTTAAAGGCTCTTCCACAAGTCCCCGTTTGTAAACTTGTTTTGAAAATCAATTTTCAACACCTTCGCATCTAAGAAAGGCGTTGGGCGCGTCACATGTGTTCCTACAAAAGCCTGCCAATTTTCTCAGGATTTTTCCATAAAAATGAAACTTTCGGAGCAGGTCAGGCGAATTTTAGTTTTTCGATGGAGCAATCAAGTAGCTTCCTATCGGTCCTAGTTTTTTGCAAGACTAATTTTTAAAATGCGCAAGCTAAACTCGCTCTGTAACGACGCTTAAAACTGCGACGCTGACGAATGATTATTTTATTAATTGCACCAAAACAGGTGGTTACAATATTTAAATTATATTTTGTTTATTAACCGCAAGCTTAACCGATCGACGCGCAAATGTAGTATACGCTATTCTAATTTATGATAATCATCGTTACGTTTCATTGCCTAGATGTGAGACTCAATGCCAACTAGTTGGGTTCTTGAATCATTTTTTTATCTCCATGTTCAGTTTTTCACTTTGAACTTGATTGATTATATTTCCTGTTCTAACACAATTTCACATCAAGAAGTTTTTGGCCTTAGCATTAAGAGAATTCTTACCAAGTCGATGGTTACAATCAGGTCCGGTTGATGATGTTTCCCCTTCTTGGTTTTCTTCGTTTTCTTTAGTCCTGCATCCACTTTAGCAGGTGCTTGTCTGATGGGTTGGCCCTTCTGTTGCACATTGAGCTGCTTCTGTGAAGACTTACAAGGGGTTTTTGGCCCCCCTTTGGCCCCATGGGTCGGTGTTCTTGGACGTGGTTGCGTCACATGAGCATTACCATCTGCCGGCTTGTTTCTGGCCTGCAAAAAACAACCGAAACGTGAACAAATCATGCATCTAATCAGTTTGAATGAACTGAATTCGCATGCTTGATGAATCAATCAAATCGGTCAACAGAAATGAGTGTTTGGAAGCGTAAAGTCGCCTGCACCATTTTCTCGATTTTCTCTTAACAAACGCCTGGTATTTAATAAGTTGCATCGTTGCACTGAAATTTAACGCAATCTGCAAAACTGATCGACCTGGTTTACTTCAAGAATGAAGTTTAAGGTCTTTTTGTGGAGCGCCTGTTTTGAAGCTAAAAATATGTTGGCGCCTCGAACTGCAAAATTCGGCTAAAACGGGGGATTTTGGAATTTAGGCCATTTCAATGGCATTTCCCAATATATTAATACCGATGCAAACTTCTGTTCTGCTTTAATAAATCTGCAGTTTATTGGGCACTTAGGTGAACGCAGAAAAAAACTGCCTGAGGCATTCTAAAAGGGGCTCAGTTTCCTGGAAATAAGAGCATTTAATAAAATTCTAAAAGTTGCGAAATACCACCATTTAATTAATCTGGCAATAAAACACATCTTTCATATTTTTTTTAAACTTGTTAATAGATCACTTAAATAATATCCGTGAGATGGTGACTGAAATGAGCCGATTGAAGCCCACACGAACGACGCTAAAAGCAATAAAACGACTCCTCGTCTTCCAACCGAAATAGATCGTATTACCGAAATGTGGGACTTCAAAAAGTGAAACAAAGAAAAACCTCAATCACCAAACACCGAAATCCAAATATACAAAATTTTTCGGTTATTTCGTCACAACAATTCAGATCTCTCTAACCGATTGCGAATCGTATTCAGCTAAATTTAAATAGCGGGCGTGAAAAAATGTTGATGTGAATATATATTTTTGTATGCAACACTCTTGTTCAGTCTCAAGTTCTTCCCGCACTCTGGAACCATCGGTTTATCCATAAACTTTAACGGACTCAATCCATCAAAAAATGGTTTGTGTTTTTTGTGATTTTGTGCTGGTTTTGTGAGTTTTATTATAGAATATTTCTGTTTTGTTTTAAGCAAAATTTTAATCGTTTTAGTGCACTTAGTATGTAATATAAAATTATTTAATTTGAGGTTTTATATCCGCAGTTGGCATAGATATTCTCTTTGCTTAGAAAACAGTAGATAGCCTCTTAAATCACTAACACTCATCTTTTTAATTCTTTTACTTACGACTGACTGCATGCTGCAAATGGAAATTTTCTCTTAAACTGTGTGTGCAATAGCAGCGAAGAAAATAAAATTTCTATCTAAAAAAGGGCCCGAAAGAACTTTATGTAAGATTTACAAATAAAATCTTACGTAGGTACATATAAGATTTATTTTGGTAAAACTTTGACTTCTGCACTGTTATATACATTAAATTTGATATTTTATTAATTTTAAATTGTCTCCTTTACAGGCTATTTGTGTTATCGGCTAAATTTGTCCATTTCCCGATATCCTTAAATATTCTCAGGTATGTTCTTCATTCTCAAGTATATCCACGAGAATAAATTGAAGAGGGAAAAATTTAGTACTCAAAAATAACCAGCTGGTTTGATTTCAAAAATACCCAATAAACGAAGCAAAATCGCCCTTATTATTTTTTTTCTCAGCAGCTTTAGCTATCGCAAACCCTTCCAGTGCTATGGACTTTAGAGCTGCTGTTTTAATTGCTAACGATTGTTTAAAAACCTCTGAATATTTTCCCGATTTTTTGCTTAAAGTTAG